CTGGGGATTCGAACCCGCCACCTTAGGTGTATGTGGCTGGCGCCTTAGCCGCTTGAGCTATAGGCGCTGAGCCCCTTCATTTATTTCTTTATGCACATAGTACTTATTCCTTTGAAGATAGGAAGATGTTATGTTGACATGATTTTACAGATGTCATTATGGCTGCATTAGTTAAGAAGGGTAGAACATTATTAATTGCTTCAGGTTTGTATTACTTAGTATCCTTCTGAAGTAAAACTAGTATGTTGTTAAACTAATGGGTCACTTGCTAGTTCTATATTTTTACTTTCTTTATCTTTGCAAATCTAGAATTATATCTTCTGTTACTGTGGCATAGGCTGATGATAAAGCCATGGGAAGAAATTCTTGGGGATAGTGTGATTAGAATTATCAGTTTGTAATCTTACTCCCAAAGCCTCACACTCATCTGAAAATCTAAAATGTTGATTAGCCCTACTGTTGTTGATAAATAGCCCTGATTAGTTGGAATGGTATATGAGTGACAGTTTTGTATTTGCACATGCAGAAATGTGATCTTTGTTATATTTCTGAATGTGGACAAAATTTTAAAATATTATGTAGTTTGTTAGTAGTTTGAGAATTTGGCATAAATTTCAGTACTTACATCACATTATTGGACTGCATCACACAGTCTGTATTTTAAATATTCACTATCTCTAATCTGAAAATGTTTTTTTCTGGAGCCTTCCTGTACACTATAAATGTGGCAAATTGAAATTGAGATGTGCTGAAAGTATAAAATGGACATCAGATATTAAGGATAAAAGAATTTAAAGTATTACATTATCTTTTATGTTCATTATGTTGAAAATGCACTTATTAGGTTTACTAGTACTACTAAAATTGATCTTACTTGTTTCTACTTTTTTATTATGAATAGTGTCTTGCTTTGTTGTCTGAGTTAAAATGCAGTGGCATAATCATAGCGCACTGGACCCTCAAACTCCTGGGCTCAAGCAGTCCTCTGCCTCAGCTTCCCAAGTAGCTGGGACTAGCAGGGATGTACTACCACACCAGCTAATTTTTTTTATATTTTGTAGACATGGAGTCTTGGTATGTTGCCCAGGCAGGTCTTAATCTCCTGAGCTCAAGTAGTCTTCTTTTTTTTTTAAGCCAGGGCTGGGTTTGAACCCACCACCTTCGGCATATGGAGCTGGTGCCCTATCCTTTTGAGCCACAGGCGCCGCCCTCAAGTAGTCTCTTGCCTTACCCTCCCAAAGTGGTGGGATGATGGGTGAGTCACCATATGCCTATGTAGCTCACATGTGTCTTACCTTATATTTCTTGTGGACAGCACTTTTCTGAAAGGTCATTCACAGTTTTTTCACTTATGAGGCTTAGAGAAGAGATTCCTATGTTATCTTTATGTTCTTCTTCTTTGAACAAGATAACGGTACCTTTTCATAGTATTTGAATATGTAGGGTGACAGTTTTACTTTACTGTGTCCTTTATACTTGTCATGACAAGTTTAAACCAGAATACTCAATTATTAGGTTATTTAGGTAATTTCCATTCATTAGTTAGTCTTATAAAATTCTGGAGATAGGGCAGAATTTAAAAAGATAGCTCTTGCAGTGTGTTTGATGGGTGACCAGATGTTACTTCTGTAAGAATAAAAATTGGGTGGTATTTGCAGTACAGAAGACATTACCTCCTTTTCATAGGCAGACTCGCTACTGCTTTTTTTTTTTTTTTTAAAGAGAAAGAGTCTCACTTTGTCACCCTTGGTAAAGTACTGTGTCATCACAGCTCAGAGCAACCTCCAGCTCTTGGGCTTAGGCAGTTTTCTTGCCTTAGTCTCCCGAGTAGCCTCCCTGAGTAGCCATAACCCCTGGCTGTTTTTTTGTTGCAGTTTGACTGGGTCCCAGTTCGAACCCACCGTCCTCGGTATATGGGGCCAGTGCCCTACTCACTGAGCCACAGGCATTGCCACTACTGCTTGTTAGATGTTTTCTTTATCCTAACTGTAGTGGTTGGTGTTGACTTGTCAGTACCCTTCTTGGTTGGTCCTGAGAAATACTCTGTAAGTGTGAGAGAGCTGTGTGGTATAAAGTACAGTTTCTGTATTGGAAGCTAAATACCGGGTGAAGTATCTGCCAGTAAAACTGGTAAAAACGTAGGGGCTATTCTTCATTGTGGGTGTAAGGGTAATACAGCTGTGCCTCAATAGGAACTCTGTTAGGAATGAGCCTGCTTTGTCTTAAATAACAATCCAGAATATGTTATTTTACATGTTTTTAGTTCACACTTATGATATAAAGATGTAGAATGAATGTTCAGAGTGGTTTAAGATTTAATTCATAATACTGTCTAACTTGCCAATTCTAGGGAACAGCTGCCACCAATAATATATCAGCAACACCTACATTTTTGTTTTTCCGAAACAAAGTAAGAATTGATCAGTATCAAGGAGCAGATGCTGTGGGATTAGAAGAAAAAATCAAGCAGCACTTAGAAAACGACCCTGGATGCAATGAGGACACAGATATTCCAAAAGGCTATGTATGTGGACTGCAAAGTAGCACCATGATAGAGTGTCTCACATTAGTCATTATTTGGTTAAAGTGAAATTGACTGTGTTTCATGTTTTATCTCTTATTAATTCACAGTGCTTTCATATAAGAACTTTCAGTCCAAATTCATTAGCTGATTATCGAGTCTTGTCTATGTGTCTGTTAATCATAACATCATAAACTGTTTTTTCTCAATTTTTCCTTAGCCATTACTTGTTTATCTGTTTTCTGAACTATTTTAATAGCCATCTTTAAATTCATGTTTTATATTTTTTCGCAAAAAGTAAAGAAATGTGCATTAGAAAAATTTTCCACTTTTTGATAGTTACGTAAATGACTTGCATATTTTATTTAATTTTTAAAAATTTATTTATTTATTTTTGAGTCTCGCTGTGTTTGCCAAGGCTGGAATGCAGTGGTAAAATCATAGCTTACTGCAGCCTGAGACTCCTGGGCTCAAGCGATCTTACTGTGTACTGTGCTGGCTGTTTTTTTTTTTTTTGATTTGTAGAGATGCGATCTTGCTATGTTTCTGGCTAGGTTGATCTCAAATTCCTAGCCTCAAGAGATCTTCCACCTCAGCCTCACAAAGTGCTGGGATTACAGGCGTGAGCCACTGTGCACAGTTTGATTTGTAAATTTTAGTTATGACCTTTACATACTGACCTTCCTTTTAAATGTATCCCCTCTTTCATGGTCCTCTATTGAGAAGAAGTCTAATTGTTGATTGTGTTTTAGAATCAAATGTGATTTAGTGTGATGTGTGTTAACCTGAGTTATAAGAGTAAGTTATCATTCTAAACCTAAGTTAATAAGAGTAAGTTATCATTTTAAATACTAACCTGAAGGTTTAGGAACTTAAAGGATTTGAAAACAACATAGTTTAGGTAGTTATAATGTAGCTTCTCTACCGTCTGAGAGCTATTTTGGAAGGAAGCAAAATTCAGAAGTGGTATTTCATAGGAACAGATTTGTTTATCCTGCATACTAAAATATACATATTAATATTTCTTAATGTTTCTGGTTATAATGTTATTGCACTGGTGGATCAAAGAATAAATTTTTTTAACATATTATGTCACATTAAAGCTAATACATTAAACAATGTGTATCAAGTATTTGAAAGCAGATCTATGTCCTGGGACTGCCAGTCCTTTCTGCAAGTCCTTTAAATTCATGCTGAGTAAAGAGCAACTATAGTGCAGTTAATATAAGAAATTCTTTTTGTGTATAGGACGTGAGGTGTCAAAAAGTGATAGTGGCAGTAATTATTTTAAGTTAGGGAAGTACAATTGGTGTTTGTTTAAAATAGACCTGTAATTAGAAATTGTAATACGCAATTAGAAAGATGAACATGACGTTTAAGTCAGGGGTGTGATTCCCCCCTTTTGAAAAATCATTTAACATGTAAACTGTGTGTTTATATCTTTGTATGTTTTTCCTTTATTACTAAGGGCATTTGCATGAAATTGTGTTATGAGCACAGCAGCCTATTGGCTGCTTAGCTATAGGGACTTCTTTGTATATCATCTAAGTGTGATGTCAATGTTTTGGCCTTAGGTAGGAATCAAGCAGGACAGTGTCAAGTTTTAAGAAATAAAAATGAAGCTTCCGTGCAAATGTTATGGATAAAATGTGGAAAGCTATTATAAAAACATTTTCACAGCCAGGTGCGGTGGCTTACGCTTATAATCCTAGCACTCTGGGTGGCAGAGGCTGGTGGATAGCTTGAGCTCATGAACTTGAGACCAGCCTGAGCAAAAAGTGAGACCCCCGTCTGCTAAAAATTAAAAAACTGAGGGATGGCGCCTGTGGCTCAAAGGAGTAGGGCACTGGCCCTGTATGCTGGAGGTGGCAGGTTCAAACCCAGCCCTGGCCAAAAAAAATAAAAAATAAAAAACTGAGGCAAGAGGATTGCTTGCGTTCAAGAGTTGGAGGTTGCTGTGAGCTGTGATGCCACAGCACTCTACCCAGGGTGAGAGCTTAAGACTCTGTCTCAAAAAAAAAAATTTTTTTTTTTCAATTTTTCCGGGTGGTATTCATCAAGACATTGAAATTTTGAACTATTTACATCTTATAGCCTTGTGAAATATCTAAAACTGATAATGTCTTCCCTCCCCAAATCATCATTCTTAGAATATAAAATAGAAGCCTGATGGGAGTAAGAGTTGAAGAAAACCTTTATCTTAAGTAATTTAAATATAAGCATTGCAGAAATATATTGACAATTTTTTATAAAATTGTGGATTTCTTAGAAGAGTTTGAGTCATTATTTTTTAACACCCAAAAGCTCTTCATGATCTCCAGAAATGTCATTTGACAAAGTTTAGCACCCATTTATTCATAAAGCATTCAATTGAATTTTTTTTTTTTTTGAGACAGAGTCTCACTATGTCGCCCTCAGTAGAGTGCTGTGGTGTCACAGTTCACAGCAACCTCTAACTCTTGGGCTTAAGTGATTCTCTTGCCTCAGCCTCCCAACTAGCAGGGAGTACAGGGACATGCCACAATGCCTGGCTATTTTTAATTTTTTTTGTTGTAGCTGTCATTGTTTAGCAGGCCCAGGCCAGGCTTGAACCTCCTAGCCTTGGTGTAGGTTGCTGGTGCCCTACTCATTGAGCTACAAGTGCCACCCTACTCACTGAGCTATGGGCGCCAACCTCAATTTTAAATATATACATATAATATATATATATATATATGTGTATTTTTTTGCAGTTTTTTTGGCTGGGGCTGGGTTTGAACCCACCACCTCTGGTATATGGGGCCAGCGCCCTACTCCTTAAGTCACAGGAGCCACCCTCAGTTAAATCTTAATAGGGAACACTATAGGCATTCCCACTACAGGTAGAAACGAGACAAGAGCATGACCACTAGCACCACAACTCTCTGACATTGTGTGGGACATGTGGAAGGATCAGTCAGAGTATTAAGAAATCAATACTCTAAATGACTATAGATTAAGGGAGATTTAAGAGATGTATTACTTCTGTATATACTTTTATACTTTTTGGATCTTTTTTCTGAGTCTAATAATTCACCTGTAAAACATTTACAGGGCAGTTGAGGAAATTTGGATGCCGATATTTAATGGTTTTCAGGTGTTACTGTTTTAATTTTGGTAATACTGAGAATGTGTTTTTAAAAGAATGTTCTTATATCTTAGAAACTCACACTGATATGTTTGTGAATAAAATAAAAGATGTCTAAGATTTATTTCAAAGTAATCAGGAGGAGGAGTAATTAGGATATAGTGCAGGGCGGTAAAGTGAAATTAGAGTGACTGTGAGTTGATTGTAACTGGGGGTGGCAGGTAGATGGCTTTCACTAGATTATTCTGTTTGTGTATGTTTGAGCTCTCATAATGAAACATTTTAAGTCCTTATTTGCTACTCACCTTTAACCTCTTCATGGTTAAAGGTTATTTTAATATACATATTTCCTATTGTAAAACACTGCTATAAAAATGTATATGTACACATTTTATAATTTTATTAAGTAGGCCAAGCTTAGATTTGGCAAAGGACTATAATAAAAGTTTTAGGAATTATTTTAAAAGAGAAGTTTTCTTTAAAGATGCTTAATTTAGAGAGGATTACAGAATTAAATTTTTATTAACTTTTTATACTAATTTCAAGTGCTTTGCCTAAAATCTTGATTTAATTTTCTTTAGATGGACTTAATGCCTTTTATTAACAAAGCTGGCTGTGAATGTCTTAATGAAAGTGATGAGCATGGATTTGACAACTGTTTACGAAAAGACTTGACCTTCTTGGAATCTGACTGTGATGAACAGGTAATTGAAAACTTAAACTGAAGCATGTAGGGCTTATCACTGTTTATGCCTGCTCTTGTTTCATCTTATGGTGTATCTCTCTCCTTCCCAGATGATCACTTCTTCCTTTCCTTTTTGTAGCCTTCAGTTTGACTCTTCTGTGTGGGCTGCCAAGTGCACTAAGGAAAATAGAACTCTTAGATTGGGCCCACTGCTGAGTTGAGCTGTTACAACTGTTTGATCCTTTTGTTCACCCTTGGTCTGCCTTCCATACTTTTTTTCTCTACCAATAAGTTCATATCTGAGAAATAGAGACTAATTAGGTGAGCACTCTCTGTGTGGCTAACTCCTTGCTCCCAGATGTAAACATGTACAGTATTGTATTCCTCATGTTTCCCTGCATGGCCAGTGTCACAGAGGAAGCAGGGTGTTATCTCCTTAATTAAGCCATCTTTATCTTCAATCTTGGCTATAATTATCCTTAGTTTACTTTCTATTTCCCTATCTCTAGTTTGCCCCTGTTTTGGTTCATCTTCTACATGGTCACAACATAAATTTGAATGTTTCTTTTCTTAAAAGAGTGAAATGATTCTTCATGGGCTTCAGGAAGAGGGCTGACTTGATCTGTTTCTAGCTTTCAAGTCTCATCTCCTGCTCTTTGTTTGTGGTTCAGTTCCCCACACATCATGCTTGTTATTTTTCACACACTATTGTGGATCAGTTATAATGAACATTGGTGTAAACAAAGAAAATAGCGTAGTTATTTTCTTAGGCAGACAGGCCACACTGTTACTCTGAAATCATACATTCAGACCCTTTCTTTCTCTAACCAGAACCAGCTTATTGTACAGCTTTGAAAGTATCATTCACATTGTGTTTCTTGTAAATGGGGCTTAAAATAATTTTAGATGTGTGTCACAGGACTGGCTACAGCCTTCCCAACATTTTCTTGTCAGGGAATCTTCCCAGGGTCGATGCATAGGGACTGACCACAAATTCAGTTTTGACTGGAAAGACGATTGAACAACGAACTCAGTTTCTGAAAGACAGGCATTCTAACAGTTTTATATCCAGTTCCCTTTTGTAGCCTCCAGATTTAATTAGTCAAAACAGTGTGGAATGGAGATTTGGAGGTTAAGAGTCTTCTAGTTCTTTTGAGTTTTGGATCAGAGTTCATTAGAGGGTTAAGCTCTCCACATAACCTGTGCATTGTTTCCAAATTTGTCAAATAACGTGGCTAGCTAAATGCTTGACAAACCATCCTACAAAATGTTAAGCTGGCTATAATATATGGTTTAAGTTTTAATTTGGGAGTTTTGTTGGACTTGTTGGAAAGCAGATTGCTTGCCATTTTATAAGTCCAAATACCATAGGTTCTTAAGTATAGGTTTAGTATTTAGTCCATTAAAGTTTTTTTTTTTTTTTTTGGCCATCCCCTTATATAAATAATTGATGGTGGTATTTCTCAAATGTCAATCTAACAAGTACTTCGAACTTACTTATTTTCCATATCACATTGATTTTGTTGCATGGATTAGATTTTTTTTTTTTTTTTGCTCCTGTTATTTTAATTCTACTTTGGTGGTTTGTGTATTGAGGTGTTCAAGAGCCATTTTGAAATGAAACTATTGTATTTCTCCACAGCTGCTTATTACTGTGGCATTCAATCAACCTGTTAAGCTTTATTCCATGAAATTTCAAGGGCCAGATAATGGTGAGTAAAGGATGCCTTTTTTTTTCTTAAAAAACTAACTTCCTGTTTTGTAGAACTGTTAGTATATATTTAAAACTTTTTCTTGTTTTAGGAAAGAGTGAAATTGTTGGAACAAAGCGATGATACAATTAACTGGATAAATAATAGGAGTTTATTAGATACTGAAGGGGACCCCCCAAAAATATGTAGAACAAGAAAGAGGGAACTTTTATTTTGATTCTAAACTTTATTTTAAAATTTGATTCCTCTTAATTTGAAAACTGCTAAATCCTTTCTTTCAACTATTATTCTAAAACTTTACGTTCTAAACAGCCATTTTTAGAATCAAAACTGAGAGATTTATATTAAACCCCTAATATTGGGTGGCGCCTGTGGCTCAGTGGGTAGGGCGCTGGCCCCATTTATGGAGGGTTCAAGACCAGCCTGAGCAAGACTGAGACCCCCATTTCTAAAAAATAGCTGAGTGTTGAGGTGGGTGCATGTAGTCCCAGCTACTCGGGAGGCTGAGGCAAGAGAATCGCCTAAGCCCAGGAGTTGGAGCTGTGTGACGCCAGGGCACTCTACCAAGGGTGATAAAGTGAGACTGTGTCTCTACAAAAAAATAAAAAATAACCCCCTTTTATTTATAAATGATAGAACTGATACTTCTTTGTATCTCTGTATATACACATAACTGTACAGACTTAGAATTTATGCTTTTGTGAAATAAAGAACTTTTCTTATCCATGCTCTCCCTTTTTGTGTGTGTTTCTTTTATCCTTTTTTTTGGCGGGAGAAGTATGGGAATGGAGACTAGAGTTTTTGTTATTTATTTATTTATTTTTAGAGACAGAGTCTTACTTTGTCGTCCTCAGTAGAGTGCCATGGCCTTACAGCTCACAGCAACCTCCAGCTCTTGGGCTTAGGCAATTCTCTTGCCTCAGCCTCCCGAGTAGCTGGGACCACAGGCGCCTGCCACAGCGCCCAGCTATTTTTTGTTGCAGTTTGGCCAGGGCCAGGTTTGAAGCCGCCACCCTTGGTATATAGGGCTGGCACCCTACCCACTGAGCCACAGGCACTGCCAGAGTTTTGGGTTTTTAACAGTGATTGGGAGACATAGCCAAGGCCTTATTTATCTGGTAGCATTTTCTTATCATTTGTTACTCTAAATTTTCATGTCAATAACGTTTATTAATAAAATTGTGCTTTTATCTGAAAATAGGAAATATGTAAGCAAATGCTGTAGAAATGAGTCTAATATTCTTTAATCAGTCACAAAATATGGGTTTTACATTGTGCCCTGAAGTTAAAGGAATTAAGACATTTTATGTGTGTGGTCTTAGGACTGAGTGGATCCTCATCTAATCCCAGAGGTGAAATTTGGTGACTTTTATTATTAATTCCGTTTTTGCTGTGTGTCACTGATAATGCTTTCTTTCTAAATAACAAAAGGTACCAGTTACTAGAAACTTGAAGACCTAGTTCAAATGCTGTTTCTTTCAGGAAACTTTTTGTTACCTGTTATGTACTAATGGACTCTATTCTCATTTTCTTTCTTTCTTTCTTTCTTTTTTTTTAAGAGACAGTGTCTCACTTTATTGCCCTCAGTAGAGTGCTGTAGTGTCACAGCTCACAGCAATCTCCAACTCCTGGGCTTAGGCGATTCTCTTGCCTCAGCCTCCTGAGTAACTGGGACTACAGGTGCCCACCACAACACCCGGCTATTTTTTGTTGCAGTTTGGCCAGGGAGGCATTCGAACCCTCCACCCCTGGGGCTGGCGCCCTACTCCCTAAGCCACAGGTGCTGCCCCATTCTTGCTTTCTTTGTGCCTCTTCACCAGTCGTATAGCAGTTATCATAGGATGTGTTCTGTAGTTGAGGGCAGGGACTCTGCGTGTGTGTCTTTTAATCTCATAGTCATAATATTGAGTATGGTGCGAGCAAGGCCAAGAGAGAAACTGTGTATTGGGGAAAAAAAGATTGGCTGCTAAAATTCTCAGACTTTCTTCTAAGTTCTAATGGTGGAGGTTTGTGATGTGTAGGTGTGTGCATACGTGTGTGTCCGTGTGTATTGTGTGAGTGCAACGAAAAAGGGAAGAAAGTATAGTATATTTGAAATTTTAAAGAATTTCATTTATTCTCCCATTTTATAGGTCAGGGTCCTAAATATGTAAAAATATTTATCAACCTGCCTCGATCTATGGATTTTGAAGAGGCAGAAAGAAGTGAACCAACTCAAGCTCTGGAACTGACAGAGGACGATATTAAAGAAGATGGCATTGTCCCACTTCGTTACGTTAAGTTTCAGAATGTTAACAGTGTGACTGTAAGTAGTATTCCATTCAGATATGTTTAACAGCCTTGTGGGTAACAGACGGTGTTATTTTCAGTATCCTTAGGTGATTCTAAATGTTTCTTTAAAGTGGCATTTGTTCACTCAATTTGATATTAGTAAAAATGTTTTTTTTTTATTTTAAAATTAGATGTGTTATTTATTACTATAATTTACTTAAGGACCCATTTTATTTTTGCCTTTAAGAATCTCCTAGGTTATGATATTAGTAAAAATGTTTGATGGGCTAATTAAATTTTCTTCTTTTTGATTTATCTGTGTACTGCAGAGAAAAGACAGGTTGATTCTTAAATATTTGTGGGTTTCTTCAATTGATTTTGTTTATATATATCATAGATTTTGTTAAAAGTTTATTCTACACTCAGGGAGGCTGAGGTGGGTGGATTGCCTACGCTCACAAGTTTAAGACCAGCCTGAGCAAGATCGAGACCCTGTTTCTAAAAATAGCTGGGCATTGTGGCAAGTGCCTATAAGTAGTCCCAACTATTTGGGAGGTCGAGGCAAGAGAATCACTTGAGCCCAAGAGTTTGAGGTTGCTGTGAGCTATGATGTCACAGCACTCTACCAAGGATGACAAAGTAAGACTGTTTCTCAAAAAAAAAAAAAAAAAGTTCATTCTAGAATGTTTATACGTAAACAAGATATTTATACTTTATCCTTCATCAGGTGACAATGAGTGATGATACAAAAGTAAAATCCAGTTTACTTTTCTAGAATATAAAGTTTTTGATAGTGTCGTGGTCATGATCTTGGTAAAAATGATGGTTTTTTTTGAGACAGAGTCTCACTCTGGCACCCTGAGTGGAGTGCTGTGGTGTCATAGCTCATGGCAACCTCAAGCTCTTGGGCTCAATCTATTGTCTTGCCTCAGTTTTTCTATTTTAGAGACTGGGGTTTCACTATTGCTCAGGTTGGTCTCAAACTCCTGAGCTCAAGCAGTTCTCCCACCTTGGCTTCCCAGAGTGCTAGCTTTACAGGCATGAGCCACTGTGCCCAGCCTTTTTGCTTTATTTTTTTTAGAGATGGGATCTAACTCTGTTGCCCAGGTTAAATGATAAGCTCACTTTAGCCTCTTGAGTAGCTAGGACTACAGGCATGTACTGCCATGCTCAGCCATGCTCAGCTTGAAAATGACTTTTTAAATAGATAGTTTTATATTTTATAAAATGACCTAAGTAAGATATACCTGAATATTAAATGGTACCTGAGATAATTTTAAGTGATAAATGTTAACTTAAAAATAAAATGTCACTCATAAAAATCAGGTGCTTTTTAGCAGTTACTAATTGCTTTTGGGAATTTTAGTATCAAAACTCAGCATACACTTCTTCCCAGTCGTCCCCATTCCTTCAGAGAAGGGAGTTGGAATGTTGAAAAGAATAGCAGACTCCATAGAGCAAGGAAGTAGGAATCAGTACACACAATCACTGAGAACAGGTCGTGCCAAGCTGATAGTTTATTTAGTGGAATGATTCTGGTTTTGTCAGTTGGAAGCATACTGTAGTATGTGTTCATTTTAGATTGTTTTTAATGGAGTTTTACAGAATATACTTTATAGTAATGTAAAGAATTATAATCAAGTTGAGTTTTAAGTATTTGATATATCCTACCCAAACAAAATTTTTAAAAAATGGTTATATTAAACTTAGATACTGGTTATCAAATATTTTTCTTATCTTATGTTTGTAATGTATTCTTAATTAACAACCCCTTATTTAGTAATGGGAAGGAAGGTTTTTGCTTATTGGAAAAAATCCTTTTAACCCAGAGATCCTAATGTAATTTCTCTCATTAGGAATTACCAAAGATGCTTTATCTTGTGTTAGCCT